CCCCCGGGGGGGCCCGGGGGACCTGGCTGCCCTGCCCTGCCCCACTGCACCAGCCCCACGGTCAACAGCAACCACAGGCACGTCCTGCCTGCTGGCGTGTCCCCAAGCCTCCATTCGTGTCCCCATCCGCCATTGCCCCTGGCCGGGTCAGGGTCCCACAAGTGCCCCTGGCCCCTCGTGTCCTCCAGCCTCCGGTGCAGCCAGCTCTGCCCAAAGAGCCCATGAGCTTCTGAGCAGGAGCCACGGACAAGCCCTCCCGGGTCGTACTGGGCATCTACCATGGGAAACACCGCTTCTCCAGCAGCCCGGAGAAACCTGGGCTAGGAAGAACCTCCTTTCTGGGCACATGGTCTCCCCAAAGCCCATCCTGTGATGCTGGTCAGGCCTGGGCTTCTTCCCTTCTCCCCATCTCAGCGTGTGATCCTGCCTCTCCGTAAACCCTGGACATTCTCACAGAATCACAGAATCACAGAATTGTGGGGGTTGGAAGGGACCTCTGTGGGTCATCTAGTCCAACCCCCTGCCTTCTTGGCAAACATTCTGTGGGACATATGGTGGTTGGTGACTGTCACATCCTTTGCTCGGCCTCTGTACGAAGCCTTTGGTACAAGTTTGGGGCTGGGGACACAACTGGCGCTGACCTGACACCTAATCTACAGATTTAAACGTTCAGGTTACCTGAGACCCACAAATGTAGAATGTTTTGCTGCACTGTGTGACATGTTTGGAGCAATTTGGTGGCTTCAGAGCTGCCACATGGCCTCTCTCCCCCTTGGCCAAACAGTCCCGAAGTTTTATAAATGAGATGAGGACCACAGCTTGCAGTGCCAGTTCGGGTTGTCGATCAGAGTGTGCTCGAGACCTTGCACCCACCTGCTCATGCCAGAAGTCCTCTGAAGACAGGCGTGGGCAGGGAACGTAACCTGGTAAATAGGTTCCTTCACCGCAGCTCATGTGGTGCTGTGTTTTAGATTTTCGACCCAGCCAGCCCTGATGTTCAGGCTTTGGTGGAGCAGCGCTTGCACAGCATCAGGGCCTTCTCTGCTTCTCAAAAAAACCCCCCCCAGGGAATGGAATTTGGGGCGCATGATACCCTGGTACGGGACACAACCGGGCAGATGACCCCAACTAACCAAAGAGAGTATTTCATACCATGTAACACCATGATCAGCAATGAAAGGAAAAAGAGGGTGTTTTAGGGAGTTTTAGGGCCGTTACCCACCTTTTTTGCTCAGGAACTGGCTGGGCATCAGTCTACCTGCGGAAGGTGCTGAGTGATTGCCTTTGCATCACCTCTTTTGTTTTCTTCCCTCGTTTTTCACTTTTCCTTCACTTATTAAACAATTATTTCTGCTTCTTTGTTTGTTTGTTTGATCTTAAACCCCAAGTTTTCTTGCTTTTATCCTCTTCCCCTCATCCCATTGAGGGGGGGAGTGAGCGAGAGACTGTGTAGTGCCTAGCTGCCCCCCAGGTTAGCCCACAGCCGGCACGTATGGAGCATCCCTGCGCTCCCCCCAGGGTGACCATCAGTTCTGTACTCTTCCCTGTCGCCGCTTTCCAGAGAAACCCTGGGAATTTGTAGTCGCCCAGATGCCATTGACACCGATCTGCAACGGCCACTGGTACTCCCAAATTTCAAATGCGTGTAAAGTTCCCCATATAAAAATAAGAGCTGTCGAGCTGAGGGGGACAGGCCCTTCGCCAAACCTGTCTAGCAGGTGTGATTGATAGCCCAAGGTGTTTGTGAAACACATCAGATACCTTGTCCATACCCCATGGAGAGAAGCAAGAGAGGACCACCGCCCAGCATTGCTCTGGAAGCAACACACGGCAATGTGGGTTTTGTTCACAGCAGGCTGTGACGGGTTTTGAACAGGCCAGACAAAAAGCCTGGGTCCAGCTGATGTCCTAGCAGGATAAGAGACTTTCTCCTGGTCAGTCTGGAAACAGTCTCTGGTGGACGTACCTTTGATGAGCAGCAGCAGTCACAGAGATCTAGCCTCTTCTGGGCTTCTGCTCAAAGTTGTGTTGTGTTATACCCACTGAATTCACACAGCTTAGCACATGAGTTAATGCATGAATTTACACAGAGCAGCATTTTCCCCTCCATATTGTGTAAACATTTCAGAACACCCCTGCCCGAACAGTAAGGTGTGGGTGGAATGCATGGAGATGAAAGCACAGAGACCATAGCTCACATTTGAATTATTTATTGGGTTTTGCAGATGACTGAGCCCTTACGTAGGGGATTTGAGAGGACTGCATAGGAAGGGGTGAATACACCAAGCCCGGCAGCTGGGGCACAAAATGGATGTGCGTCCCTCACCCTCTGTGGAAGCCACTCATCTGTACTTCTCAGTCAGAACAGAGGAAACACTGGACAGGAACTTGTCCCACGCAGCATGAACTTCTGGGGTGAAGTCACTGGGGTAGCGGGCAGCCACGGAGCACAGGATACAGTGGGAAAGCAGCTGCAAGGGAAACCAAGGTGAAATCCATCATAATCAGTGACAGATGTCAGTCTAGGGGTCTGCAACGGACCTTGGTCCCGGCGTGGCCTGGGATGCCAACTACATGTCCCAGCCGGGTAGCGCTGCTGCCTGATGCTGTGTGTGAAGAGGCAGAGTTGCCTCTGGTGTAGGGCAAAAGGCGCTGCTCGATACCGCTCCCTCTTTCCAAACGCCCCTTCGTTTCTCCCCAAAGGGAAACGCCACAAAGCAGAAAGGTTTAGAATTTACTTTGTTCAAGACAGGTGATATAAGCTGACTTGTGAGGGAGGTTCATAGATCACAACAAAGGCAGCAGAGACTCGAGTCTGTCTGACACACACCAGAGGAGCCCCCTGAGTAGTCCTTTGCTTGGGCTGGACCAGATCTTTCCTTAAAAGATCCAGTCTCAGGTTAAAAATCAGGTGGGGAACAAGCAGGACATGAGGTAACAAGTCTGTGCAGTGCAGTCAGGGGTCGAGCTGTCGTTAGCCAAAATGATCTGTGATCACTAATTCTGTGACGGCAGTTCTCATGCCCGAAAGTCTCTGCGCTCACTCACCTTGAAGTTCACTGGGTCCACCCTGAGGATGTAGGCATGCAGCTCACTGAGTTTGGCCAAAGCGCCTCTGATGTCGTCGATGTGCTTCACAGCTTCCCCGATGGCATTCATGACCTTGGAGCCGTGACCACGAAGCTGACCGGAGCCTTGGCTGAGGTCGAAGTGAGGGAAGTAGGTTTTCGTCTGGGGGTAGCTGGAGAAAAGCCTGGTGGAGAATACGAGGGCGAGACTCAGCAGTGGAAGTGACGTGCGTGAGATGGTAACACCTCAGAGCAAGCGCGGTGTAAACCTGCCAGCTGCAGCACTGCGCTCTTTCAGCGCTTGTAACCGAGCTTTGGGATCCTGAAGCTTACAGCAAGGAGGTCTTTCCGCTCTGAAACCTCCTCTGCAGCATGTGTAGATTAGACGGTGGGCTAAACTGTACGTACTAGAGAAGAATGAAATGTTAAAAATCATTTTAAACAATGTATTTTGGGGGGATTGAGTATTTTAAAAAAAATAATAGCCCCAAATTGTCAGTACCTTTCCTGCATTACACAGTAAGCCACTTTGCAGGATCTTCAAACTAATACAAGCTGAACGAACCAGAATCGATATGAGCGGTACTCAGTGCCCTGGAACGAGTATCACAGTGCTCTATATTGAGCTGTAAATAACATTTAAATAACTTTGAATAACCTTAAATAACTTCAAAATAACATAATTTCTGAGCAATTTCTGTACTGTTGTCCCCTTTGTGCCAGCTTGCTGTATTTGTATGAACTTCAGATTACTTCATGCAGGGGGTCAGGTTGTCTTGTTCTCTGGCAGTTTGTTACTTATCAACTGAAACAAGGAAACGTGAGAATCCAGTCAATTTAGTGGACAGCTATTCTCCTGATGCCTAGAAATGGCAAGAGAAATTGCATCACTTGTACAATAAGCCACTTCAAGTTTATCTCCTAACAGTGATAACCCGGTTTCAGGACACTGAGTATGACTTTGAATTCCCCGCCAGGGCTCCTGACTTCTCATGAATTGCTATAATGGGAAATAAACCATTAGAACTACTCAGAAAATTATGTTTTGCTGTGAGATTTTGCAGTCATCTATTAGCATTTAGTGGCACAGATGTGATTCCAGAAAATTACACACCAAACGACACAGAGGTCATCCATCAACTCTCACCAGTCCCGGTGTGCTCTCCCTCACGGCAGTTTTACACGAGGTGCATCCTAACAGCAAAGCCAGATGAGGTCCCCTCTTCGGAGGGTCCTGGGGGACTTACCTCTCCAGTGATTCCGCCCCAATGGCATCGGCTTGGGTGGCCATCTTCGCCCAGATGGTGACCACAGCGGCCTTCTCGGCTTGAGTCAGCGTCATCGTGTGGAAGGGTGCAGGCTCAGGCTCCTCGCAGTGAACGCTCGGAGTAGGTTTGGACTCGTTGCCCTGGCAGTCTTGTTTATAAAGAGGAAGGGGAGAGTGGACCTTGGCATCTGTCCACGCTCATTGGTCACTCCAGAGGCCCACCCATGGAGGTGGGAGACCCTTATCTCCCCGTGCAACAAAGCCTACTTCGGCAAGGGTCAGTGCGCCGGTCTCCTTGCTTGGTGGCGTTATCAGCTTCTTGCTTCTTAACGTAATGGCCATGTGGCCTGGATAAATTGTCTGGACACTTATTGATACATGAACAGAGATGTGGTGCTGGAAAATCCCAATGACAAGGTGTTAGGACACATCTTTAAGCTGAGGAGCATACGGACCTCAAGCGTAGTAAGGAGCTTGGAGAAGGATCTGCATTTTCTCCCTTGCTTCGTAGATGTGAACAGAAGACTCCGGGTCTTTCTGTGGCACGCCATACACATTCCAGTATCCGTGGCTGCCATATGGCCCAATATTTCATATTAAATTATTCTTAGGTAGTGCTAGGGACGGGCTGGGAGACATGCCGTATAGTTCAGAGGGGGAGCGAGACCCTGATTTTGTGGGAATCAGCCGAGATTTTGCCATTTGCTTCAGCACTGCCAGGACTTCACTCTGCCAGCATCTTTCAAAGAATCAGGGATGCACTCCACAATCGATATTGCTTAGAACAGCGACGATTCT